TGTGTGTGTGTCTGTGTGTGTGTGTTGGAAGTCTCACTCTGTGTGTGTGTGTGTGTGTCTGTGTGTGTCTGTGTGTGTGTGTCTGTGTGTGTGTCTGTGTCTGTCTGTGTGTATGTCTGTGTGTGTGTCTGTGTGTGTCTGTGTGTGTGTCTGTGTGTGTGTGTTGGAAGTTTCCTGCATTTAATGTGCAAATATTGGATGTTTTTCGTAAATATCTTTTTTTTTTTTTTTTTTTTAGGTGGGTTCTTCCTCTGTTGTCCAGGCTGGAGTATAGTGGCACAATCACAGCTCACTGCAGCCTTGACCTCCTGGGCTCAGGTAATCCTCCTACCTCAGCCTCCCAGCTAGCTAGGACTACAAGCATGCTCCAGGTTTTGCCCTGTTGCCCAGGCTGGTCTTGAACTCCCGGGCTGAAGGGATCTGACCACCTTGGCCTCCCAAAGTGCTGGGATTACAGGTGTGAAGTACTATACCAGACGAAACATCTTACTGTCCCCAGTGTTTTTATTTGGTTCTTTTGTCTGAGAACACATTCTTTGTCATTTTAGTCTTCTAAAATTTACTGTCTCATGTTTTATGGCCTACCCTATGATCTTTCTTGGTGATTGTACCTGTACACCTGGAAAGAATGTCTAGTTTTGTCAGTTGAATAGTACGACTTTATTAACAAGGGATTGTTGATAACCTAAATGCTCATCCAAGTGAGCAGGTTAAATAAATGATGGCATTTATGTGCAGTGGAATACTATGTAGTATTAAAAATATTGAGGGCGTTGGTTGAATAATCTATAGCATATCCACATAATGAATTATTATGCACATAAGAGGATTAAAAATAGGGATTTTTTTTTTTTTTTTTTTTTGTGCGACAGAGTCTGACCGTGTCACCCAGGCTGGGGTACAGGGCCATGGTCGTAGCCTACTGCAGCCTCAACCTCCCTAGCTCAAGTGGCTCTCCTGCCTTAGGCTCCAGTATAGCTAGTATTACAGGCATGCACCTCTAAGCCTGGCTAATTTTTAAAAACTTTTTGTAGGGATGGAGTCTCGCTGTGTTTCCCAGACTAGTCTTGAACTCCTGGACTCAAACAATCCTCCCACTTTGGCCTCCCAAAGTATTCAAGTGTTAGGCTTATAGATGTGAGCCATTAGGCTTATAGATGTGAGCCACCCTGCTAGTCCAGAAAATTTTTACGATATCTTTATAAGAGATAATTTTTAAGATACATTGTTGTGGCTGAGTGTGTGGTGGCTCAGGCCTGTAATCCCACCACTTTGGGAGGTAAAGGTGGGAGGATTGGTTGAGCCCAGGAATTCAAGACCAGCCCTGGCAACATAACAAGACCTTGCTTCTACAAAAAATTTTAAAAATTGGCCAGGCGCGGTAGCTCACGCCTGTAATCCCAGCACTTTGGAAGGCCAAGGTGGGCGGATCACCTGAGGTCAGGAGTTCAAAACCAGTCTGGCCAAGATGGTGAAACCCTGTCTCTACTAAAAAGAAAAAAAATAGCCAGGCGTGGTGGTAGGCGCCTGTAATCCCAGCTACTCGAGAGGCTGAGGCAGGAGAATCGCTTGAACTTGGGAAGCAGAGGTTGCAGTGAGCCAAGATCGTGCCATTGCACTCCAGCCTGGGGGACAAGAGCGAGACTTCATCTCAAAAAAA